CAGTGAAGCACGAAGTCAATGGGCGGAGTAAAAGGGTGTGCCACTGGCGCGAATCACGTGACAAGACCTGCCAGAAGGGGTGAACATGCCCAAAAAGGGGCATGTTTGTCCAAAGAATTGGAAGGTCAGCCTGGCATGAATGCATGCCAGGCTGCCTGCCAATCCTGCAGGCTGTCCAACTAGGTGCATACTATGCAGGCAGCACCTTGAGCTTGACATAAATGCGTCTAATGATGTGCTCACTCCATTCTTTCTAAGAACTTGCTGGTCCACTTGTCTCCTTACCTTCTTACTAACAGGCAGAAGTTCCTGGTATATAGTCTGAGACAGAGAAAAGGTGTCTGTAGTGAGTGTAGAAGAAAGGGGACATGCCACAGTGTTAGAGAGACCAACGTCTGCATTACTTAAACTAACTTTAATGTCAGCAAGTGCACACAAGTTTTGTTCCCATACATCCCTCTTAAGCTTCCAAACTTAAAGGGACACTATAGTCACCAGAACAACTACAGCTTATTGTATTTGTTCTGGTAAGTAGAATCATTCCATTCAGGCTTTTTGCAGTAAACACTGTCTTTTCAGAGAAAATAACTCCACTGGCTGGTCCTTAGATGGCTGCTAGAGGTGCTTCCTTGGGCAGTACTGCCTAGTGTGCAGCACTGCCATTCAGTGTCTCCACCCTCTGCATGCAGATACTGAACTTTCCTCATAGAGATGCATTGATTCAATTTATCTTTATGAGGAGATGCTGATTGGCCAGGGCTATGTTGGACTTGTGCTGGCTCTGCCCCTGATCTGCCTAGTTGACAGTCTCAGTCAATCCTATGGGGAAGTATTGTAATTTGCTCAGACCACCACTTCTGAGCCAGCAGCTGCAGAATTGAATACAAGTAATATTTTACTATATTTAGGGAGGCAAGAAGGGGCAAGAATGGGTGGTGGTTTTAACATAATAGGGTCAGAAATACATGATTGTGTTCCTGACCCTATAGTGCTCCTTTAAGCAAGAGTATGTGAACAGTAGTTAAGGTTGCCACCTTTCTTGGAAAAAAATACCAGCCTTAATCATTTGTATAATTAATTAGTTATGCGTGACATCACATGATGTAAATCACAAGGAGTGACATCAGAGAAAATTCTGTAAAATCACCAAACTACTCACAGTTTGATTCTGCCTTATAGATGGATTGCTCCCAGTGTCTCCCTGTCTCCCAGTGTCTCAGTCTCGCAAGTCACTCAGTGTCCCTATGTATCACAGTGTCAGTGTCCCCATGTCGCCCAGTCCCCTAGTCTCCCAGTGTCTGTGTCCCCATTTCTCCCAGTGTCCCAATGTCTCAGTGTGTCCCCATGTCACTAGGATACTGGTGACACAGAGACCCGGGGACACTGGGAGACATGGGGACACAGACATTTAGGGAAACTGGGAGAAATGGGAACACTGAGACACTAGGGACACAGACACTGGGAGACATGGGGACACTAAGACACTAGGGACACAGACATGGGAACACAGACACTGGGAGATTAGGGGACACTGGGAGACTAGGGGACACTGGCTGGGAGACAGACACTTGGGGACACTGGGAGACATGGGGACAGTTGTGGACATAGACATGTGGACACTGGGACATATAGGGACACTGGGAGACATGGGAACACCAGGCACACTGAGAGACATGGGAAACAGACACTGGAAGACTTGGGGACACTGAGACACTAGGGACACTGGCTGGGGGACAGGGGAGAAGAAGAAATTGGGAGGGGAGGGGGAGAAGAAATGGGGAGGGTGGGAGAAAAAAAATTGGTAGGGGAGGGGGGAGAAGAAGCAATTGACAGGGGGGAGAAGAAATTGACGGGGGGTGAGAGTGACAGGGGAGGGAGAGGCAATGAGAGTGGGAAGGGGGAGGGGAGAAGAGATTGACAAGGGAGAGGGGGGAGAAGAGTGTGACAAGGGAGGGGGGAGAGAGTGACATCCATCACACACACATGCAATGCACCCCTTGCACACAGAAAAACACACAATGCATTACACACACAGACACCCACACACACACAAACAATGCAACCCTTACACACAATGCATCCCTTACACACACAAAAACACACAATGCATTCCTTACACACACTCAATGCACCCCTTACACACACTCAATGCACCCCTTACACACGCACACACTGCACCCTGTACAAACACAGATTCACACAATGGATTCCTTACACACATATCAGGACATCCCCTACACACTCCACCCTCTGTGAACAAACTCATTGGTGGAACATGAAGGTGGACCCTGGGACCCAGACCTTGAGCTGTGTAAAGGGCCCCCAAAAATGGAGCTGCTTCCCGTTCTCCCAGAACATGATTTTTGTGACCACAGTTACAAACAGCCTCCAGAGAGCCTGTTCTCACCAGACCAGTGGAGCCAGACTGCAGCTAGAGTCATCATCATCCTCATCTGGTTGTAAGTAGGCAATCAGTATATTATGGTGGCACTAATCTCTAATTTACCTCACATTAAAGAAACACTATAGTCCCCAGAACCACTGCAGCTTAATGTAGTTGTTCTGGTGTCTATAGCCTGTCCCTGCATGCCTTATAATGTAAACACAGCTATTCTGCAGCACTGGCGTGGTTAACATGGCCATCATATGGGTGGAGCATTGTGATGTCACATGGGGGGGGGCAAACTTTACTTTTGCCTAGGGCGACAAAAATCCTTGCACCGGCCCTGACCC